AGGACTGAAGGACAGACTGCGGGAAGTCCCAAAAGGGCGATAAGTGGTCAAGGAGACACTTCTCCTCCCTAGGAAACGCCTGTTTGCATTTGAAAGACATCTCCACCCTTAGGCAATGCAAACTAGGCTATAAAACCCCACTCCCCACCCTGGCCCAGGGGATCGCCGGTTTCCTGGTCCCCCTGCATTCTCCAATATGCAGTCTTTCTCTTCTCTTTTCTCCAACTAAATTCTCTGCAAATAAAATCTTTCCGACCTCTGCTGTTGGAGTCTGCCTGTGCTTTCATTCTCAGAGCAGGCTCAAGAACCCTGAGCATCTGAAATTCCTGCGCGTGTCATCCGTGCATCATTACCATGGCTTTGTCTTGTGAACATGCCATGCTCTTGGGGGAGTTACAAGTTTCTCCTCTTTCACAAGAATATTCTCTGCACTTTCCCATGGCTGTTTCTATCTTCCCACTTAGGTCATAGCAAGAGTAGCTCCATCTCCATCTTTCTTTGTGCTGGATAATTTTATTTAGTTTATTTGATTCACTGCCACACCAGTCCCAGGAGTTCAAAGCCAGCCTAGGTAGCAAAGCAAGACCCTATCTAAAATAAGCAAACACACAAAGTAATAAAAGTGGCCTTTCAAATCAATGGGGGAAATCATGATTTGAGGAGAGTTTCCGATCTATGTGAAAATACAATTGGTTCCCCTACTTCACACCATATCAAATATATTCTTAACAGGTTAAGAAGCTAAACATGAAAAAACAAAACTATAAAAATACTGGGAAAATACTTTGAAAACTCTATTTAAGAATGTGGGTGAGAGTTGGGTGCCTCTGACTCACACATGTAATCCTAGCTACTCAAGAGGCAGAAATAGGAGGATTGTGGTTCAAAGCTAGCCAGGGCAAATAATTCAGGGAGACCCTATCTCAAAAAAACCCATCACAAAGACAGGGCTGGTGGAGTGGTTCTAGGTGTAGGTCCTGAGTTCAAACCCCAGCATCGAAAAAAAAAAAAATCCAAAAAAGAAAGATATTCTTGAGTAAAATGAAAAATCCAGAAGCTATAAGAAAATAGATTAACAAACCCCCAAACTTCTGTAAATAAATATGACTATTAGTGAAATTAAAAGAAAAATAAACTGGAAGAAAATATACCATACATAACAAAGAGAAGATTAATATCCAGAAATGCTAAGAGCTCCAAATCAATAATAAAAATTGAACAACCAAAGATAAATGGGCAAAAAACATTTAAGATTCACAGAAGGAAACTTGTGGTCCTACTACCTCTGCCTTCTGAGTAGCTGGGATTACAGATTCATACTACCACCACTGGCTCAAATTTCCTCGCTTTAAGTTTATAATTGTTAAATATCCCTAAATCTCACCTAACCAATGTCGAAATTTGTGTTTCTCAGATTTAAAGTCAACCCTCCGTATTCTCGGGAATCTGTCCTAGGAAGTGTCTTTCCCCAACCCCATATCAAAGCTGCAGATAAAATGTCACAGAGTTTGAATCTGAAATGTCCCCCCAAAGCTCAGTTGTTGGCTAATGGGCTTTTGAGAAATGACTGGATCATGAGGGCTCTGAGCTAAGGTTAAACCCTTAATGGAGTCATAATACTGGCGTTATTAGGAGGTGGTGGGAAACTGGGAGGTGGAGCCTAGTTGTAAAATGCAGGTCACTGGGGGCAAGCCATAAAAAAGATGTATCTTGTCCCCATCCCTTTCCCAGCTCCTTTTTTGTTTCCTGTCTGCCATATGGTGAGCAGCTGTGCTCTACCACACCCTCCCTGCCTCAATGCTCTGCTTCACCCCAAGTCCAGAAACAATAAAACCAAGAAACCATGGACGGAGATCTCTGAAACTGAGCCAAAATAAGCCTTTCCTACTATAAGTTATTTCTCCCGGGTATTTGTCACAGCAATGAAAATGCCTGTATAAGCTTATATTGCATATAAGCTATGCACATCTTCCTACATACTTCCTTTTTAAATTTTTTTTATGGTACTGGGGTTTGAACTCAGGACCTCATGCTTGAGGGGCAGGCACTCAACTACTTAAGCCACTCCTCCAGCCCCTTTTTTTGTGTGTGTTGGGTCTTTTGAGAATACCTGGAATTGTGATTCTCCTGATCTCAGCCTCCCAAGTAGCTAGGATTACCAGAATGAATCACCAGTGCCTGATGAAATGGAATCTTTTCCCAGTATTTTCTGTAAGTGGTTGGTTGAATCTGCATATGCAACCCATTGTCAACACCCTAAAAGGTAGGATTTTAGGCGCCCTTCTTAATGGCATGCCACTCCTTCCCCAGTTTTGGAGCTACCATCAAAACCGCAGTTACTTTGTGATACTGGTTCTCTTCCCATTTTCACTGTTTACTAGCTAGTATTTACTCATAATGTTTAATTTTGCCTGTTCTGGAACTTTAGATAAGTAGAATCATGCTACATATTTCACAAATTTCTTCTTTCTCAAAATTATGTTGGTAAAGCCGGCTGTGGTGCTATGGTGGTGCATGCCTATAATTATAGCACTCAGAAGCTGGGCCAGGAGGATTGTGAATTTGAGGCCAGCCTGGGCTACAAAGTGATATAGTGAGTTCTAGGCCAGCATGCATAATGACACCCTGTCTCACCCCCCCAAAAAAGGAATTGTTTGTGAGATTCATCTTCATTGAGTATGTAGCTGTAGTTTAGCCATTTTTATTGTTGCAGAGTAATCCACTACATGAATATATGTGTATAATATATATATATATATATATATATTTTTTGAACTCAGGGCTTCAGTAAAGCAGGTCACTGCTTGAGCCATGCCTCCAGTTCATTTTGCTCTGGTTATTTTGAAGATGCAGTCTCATAGACTATTTGCCTGGGCTGTCCTGGAACCAGAATCATCTCAATCTCAGCCTTCCAAGTAGCTAGGATTACATGTGTGAGCCACCTGTACCCAGTCACTATATGAATATTTAATTTAAAAAATATTTCATGTCTTATCTCTCAATCTCCTTCAGAACAAAATAATCATATTTTTTGTGGGGTGATACAGGATTTGAATTCAGGGTGCTTTACCACTTAGGCTGTGCTTCCAGCTTTTTCTTTTGGTGGAACTGGAGTTTGAAATCGGGCTTTAAGCTTTCAAAGCAGGAACTCTACTGCTTGAGCCATGTCCCTAGCCCCCTCCAGTTTTTTTTGCTTTAGTTTATTTTTTCAGATAGTGTCTCATGCTTTTTGACTGGGCTGCCCTCAGACTGCATGCCTCCCGCATAGCTGGAATTATAGCTATGTACCACCAGACCTGCCTTATTTGATGAGATGGGGTCTTGATAACTTTTTGCATGGGCTGTCCTTAAACCTTGTTACTTCTGACCTCCATCACCCAAGTAGCTGGGATTATAGGCATGTACCCCATGGCTGACAATAAAGGCTTAGTTTCCTCTAGAATATGTACCTAGGCATGGAATTGCTAGATGTCAGGATTACCTAAAAATATGAAAATGTATATAACTCTTGGTGCTCCTATCTGATTTCAAGATTCCTTTTTCAACTCTTGACATGAGGAGTTCTGGGTATTCAAACCACATGCCTGACCATTTCTGAATGGGCTTGATCTTGAGGGGCAGGCTTCAAGCCTCCCTATCAGTGGTATTCACTGGAAGGAGCTCTTTCTATAAGGGACATCAGCATCTGCTACTTGTATGACCCCCACCTCCTGTTAGTCATCACAAGACAGAGGAATGCTGTGCTGCCTCATCCTGGTCAAAGGTCTCCCTGCTGAGCATGCTTTGCTCACCCAGGAGAGTGAGGTTTGAAGAGTGGGTGGGAAGGGGCCCTGCTTGCTCTCCCAAAGGCACACCAGCCATTAGGAAATATTAATTACTCAAAAAATCCAAGTCTAAATATAAGCTCTCCCCTAATGTTAGGAGGATCTGGGCAGAAGTATAAATAGATGTCATAAGTCTGTCTAAATTATTTAAAATTATGAACAACTCCAACTAACTACTAACCTTAATATAGTCTATTCTTCTTACTTTGACAAATACATATCTTTAGTTACCCTAAAGAGCAGATTTGAGTTTAAAATTCCTGGATTCCTGGGATATATGAACTTGAGGGCTGCACAGGCTGACTATTGGCTCATGGTTTCACCTGCCTTCTTTTCTTGTCTCTGTCCTGTACTGCCAGGGATCTGTGATTACAGAGGCTCAAATGTCCAGGTGCTTCCCCGAACACAGCTGCCTTTCAGTACTTTTGGGGAATGCCCCATACTCTGCCCTAGAGAGGATGAACCTGGGAAAGAGACCCCAGCTTCAGCCATCTGAAGAGGAAATTCTGGGGCCACAGGTTTCCAGGCCTTGGTCCTAAAATGTCAGACTGTGAACTCTTCACTTTGGTGTAGGGGTGTGATCAGTGAGGGGTTAGAGAGGAACCTTTCACATTGGTGGCCAAGGGCAGGCTGTCTCGCCCAGGTATAAAGGCAGCACTTTTTGTGCATTACTGCTCCTCTCCAGTCATGAGTGCAGGCACTACTACTGGCTGTATCCCCGGCAGCCATCACAATGCCTGGCACATAGAAGCCAGAAAGACTCGCTTAAAGGAAGACTTGGGGGGTCCAAGCCCAGTTCTGCAAATAACAGTTCTTCCTATTTTATCACTTCATTTAAACTTAGCCATTCTACTGATGAAGCTTCTGCGAGGTTAAGTGACTCTCCCACGGTCACACAGCTAGGGGAGGCAGAAGCTTGGTTTGCACTCCACCACTGGGTCACCTATCTCCCTCTTTGCCTAGGCGCTGGTAGCAGACCCCCCAGGAGGTCGGCCTTTACCGCCGCCACCCCCTCCTCTTCATCCTTCCATTCAGCCTCTCCCTGGCATTCCCGCAGAGCTCTGGGTGCTCGCACAGCCTCCCCTCCCGCAGCGCTCCCCACCTTCGCGAAGCCCCGCCCCTCCCCTCAGGCCGACGTCACGTGCCGCCCCATCCCCCCGCGCCTGCGCACTGCTTATTTCCCGCTGTCAGGATGAGGAGGCGGAGGTCGGCGCTCGGGTCCGTCTCTGCCCGGGGCTGTGGCGGTGCCGGCGGCTCCAGCCTTAGCGGTTCCTCCCTGGGCAGCGGCGGCGGTGGCTCGGTCGACGCCTCTTCCGCCAGCTGAGCCCGCGACAGCCCGGGACGCCGCTTCCCCGCCCATCCCCGCTCCCCGAGGCCGGCCGCCTGGCCATGGCGCAGCCGGGCCCGGCTCCCAAGCCTGACGGTGAGGCGCCCACCATGGCAGGCGCGGCGGGCGCGGCCTGCCCGGCGCCGGCCGGCGTGGCGGGGGGACCTCGGGGCGGGCGGCGGGAAGGGCGCGCGCACGGCCCCGGGGGTGACCCTGCCGGGCGGAGGCGACAGCGCGCGGAGCCGGCGCGGGCGGGCGGGAGGCGGCGCGGGGCCTGAGCGCCGCCGGCTGAGGAGGGGGCGGGAGGCGCCGGCTGCAGCGCGGGCGGGCGGAGGCCAGGGCGTGTGGAGGCTGGGACCTGGCGGAGCGGGGAGCGTGGAGAGGAAGCCGCCGTAGGTAGCGGTGAGACCGGCACGTGGGTTCTGCCCTGAGGAGGATAGAAATCGGGAACATGTGCTATAATTCATAAAACAAAAACAAAAACCCATAATAAACCGAAACCAAATAACAAACTTCGCTTTGGCAATGGTGGTGTGTCCTCTGGCCCCACCACCGCCTCCTCATCCACGCTGTAGCGCTCTTTGCACCCAGTTTTGTAACACACAAAAACTAGTTGCTGGGTTTAGTAGTATTCTTTGAGTGGCATTGTTGCTTAATGGTGAATTGTAGGTCCTGGGATCCTTTGCTCTCAAACTCTTGGGCACTTTTCTTAGCGTTTTAGAATCTCAGTATGCTCATCCTTGAGAAGAGGTCAATCCATGCCTGTGAATTGATAGGTTAGTGTTATTCTGAGAGTATTAGGAATAATGAGATTGGTTTTTAACAAAGATGAAAACCAGGAAATAGGTCCTTTTTCTGTCCTCTTCCTCCTCCTCCTCCACTTCTCTCTCTCTTAGGGGATAGTTTCACTGTGTTGCTCAGGCTGGTTTCAAACTCCTAGGCCCAAGCTATCCTGCCTCAGCCCCCTGAATAGCTGGGACTACGGGTGTGCACTCAGCTGTGCCTTTTATAGCACTTACATTCTTGTAAGGAAAAAGCATCCTATCCTAAATATGTCAGAGTGATTGTCAGAGTCCATGACATTGTGGGAAGTGGGTTGACCACATTGTTCCAGAATTTACTACCTGGAGCCGTGGTTGGAAGGAATGTGCTTGGTCTTTGGCAAGATCCTACTGTATCCAGTTGAGAAAGTTCTTTCAAGTGCATTCCTATAATATGCCTTTGTGCTTAGAATCTTTAAGTGTGAGCAGAATGTTGGGGCACAGAAGGTATTTAAAAAATTGCCTGGTTTTCCAAGAGTAGTCTCTTGAAATAACGTTTAGTGAAAACCTTACTGTTTGTTCTCGCCTTTGGGGAACTGGAAACAATGTTACCAGATTTTAAGGCTCTGGCTGCTTGCTGGGAAGTTTGCTCCAGAGCCTATTAACCTCTGGGTTGGGGTTTTGTTAGTTGGCCAGAAGTGGTTAAGAGTTAGCTTGTTTTTATTCCGGTAGAAGAGAAGGGAGGCCTTTCTGGTGAGCTATTAGACTAAACTGGGGTGTTTTCAGACTACATTTGAATTCTCACCTTTTGTGTTTGGTGTTAGGGAAGAAAACTTTCTCTTCACAAACCCTTTTTGTTACTGCACACACAGGCAGAATACAGAGCTCAGTGGCTTCTGGGTCTGATCTGGGGTGGTAGGTATGCCTAGCTGGCTGCTGCCTTTTCTTGAGTTGCGTGGAAACAAACGTCTAGGGCAGCTCAGGTGACATGACAAGTCTGGAATCTAAATTCCCTGCCTCTTTCAAGATGTGCAATGGTCTTCCTTATAAGTAGGCAGAAGTGACTAAGCACTTGAAAGGCAAGGAAAACATGAGCTTTGGGAAATGTTGGATTCTTGCTATTTGTAGTACAGATTTAGTTCCTATTTTTCAAGTCTTCTGATTATAGGATGAGATTTAGTTTGTGTAGATTGCAATTTTTATTATAAATTAATAGGGTAAACAGGCAGCTACAACTACTGTTCACAAAAGGAGAAAGCATTTGGTGTGTTTGAGTGCTTTGTGTTATTGTCTGCTTAGAAGTTTATCTTGGGGACTTAATTTTTCCCTTTTATTAAGCTCATTGACCACTTTAGTTTTAACTACACTTGAATTTCCTGGCCCTGCTGATTTAAAAAACAAACTTTTGAAGAATTATTTTTGCATCACACTGACTAAAAGATAACTGCTTGTCTTTGACTTTATTTTGCCTTTATCTCCTATCAGAAGCAATTGTTTATGCCATTGTAATCTTTTCCTTTTTTGACATCTTGCTTTGTTTTTCATGTAGATATGATAGATTAAGAAAAGCGTAGATTTTTGTTTGAATTGACAAGATGAAATGTATTTGTTAATTTTTTTCTCTTTAATTCCTAATTTTGTAAAATTTTTGGTAAGTTTTTATTTTTTGGGGGTCAGTACTGGAGGTTGAACTCAGAGCCCTGCGCTTGCTAAGCAGGTGCTCTATCACTTGAGCCACTTCACCAGCCCTTTTTTGTAATGGGTTTTTCTCAAGATAGGGCCTCATGAACTGTTTGTTTGGGGCTAGCTTCGAACCTCGATCCTCCTGATCTCTGCCTCCTGAGTAGCTAGGATTACAGGTGTGAACCCCTGGCACCTGGCTTGTGTTGGTTATTTTTGAGATAGGGTTTTTCTGTCCAGGTTTTGACCTCAGTCCTTTTGTTTGTGCTTCCCTGCCCAGGTATTGGTTGAGATGGGGAGGGAGGGGGGTCTTATGAACATTTTGCCCTGGCTGGCCCTGAACCATAATCCTCCCAGTCTCTCCCTTCCAAGTAGGTAGGATTAAGGGCTTGATTGATGTACCATGCTGGTGAAAGTTTTTGATGGTTAATCATAGTTTACTCATTTAGAATGATGGTAATTTTAATAGCCAATTGAATTTCAGTTGATTAAAGTTTTCCCCCTTTAGAACCCATAGATATTGTAAAAATATTCAGATTTCAGTCTAAGTTAAACTATATCTTAGAAACATTTGCTCTGATTTTACTTCATTACTTTTTAAATAAGCATATTGTTTTTTGTAATCCTACCATTAAAAAATACATATTGAGAAGAAAGGATTTAAAATATTTCACCATAAAGAAATGATAAATGTTTGAGGAGATAGGCATGTTTAGCCTGATTTAACATTTAACAATGTATGTAGTATCCCACTGATAAGTACAATTTTGGGTATTACATCAGAAAAAATGTGTATATTAAGAAGTATGTCTTAAGTATTTTCTGCTGCCTTTTTCCGTAGTACACATGCTACTATTAATCCCTGAAATAGACATGCTTTACATACATAAGTCTGCAACTTGCCTATTTCACTTAAATGTTAGTTATCATTATTACAGATAACAAGTGGTTTTATGGCCGTGTAATGTCCTGTAAGCATTGTAGGCAATATCTCAGGAGCTTGTTGCATCAGTGAGGTGGGTATTGTAATATTGTTGCTCCTGTCTTACTGATGAGAAAACTGAAGCACACAGAAGTTAAAGAAACATACCTGAAGTTACATAGCTAGTAAGTGAGGAAGCCTGGATTCAAATTCAGGCCATCGAATGCCAGGACCCCCTGGTCTACTTTGTTGATCCATATGGACTACTTTCCATGTCAGTATTTTAAGTCTGCTTCATTCTTTTTTTTACCCAGTACTGGGGTTTAAATTCTGGGCGTTGTGTTTCCTAGGAAGATGCTCTACCACTTGAGCAATGACCCCAGCCCTTTCTGCTTTAGTATGTTTTTAGATAGGGTTGGACCACAATTCCAGATACCTTCACTTCCCAAGTAGCTGGGACCATAACCCTGAACCACCATGCCCATCTTGTTTTTTGAGATGAAATCTTACATATTTTTGGCCTGAGCTGGCCTGTAATAACCATGATCCTCCCAATTTCAGCCTTCCAGTAACTTGAGATGACAGTTATTTGCTACTGCACTCAGCTATTGCTGATATGGGGTCTTGCACATTTTTTTTGCCCAGGCTGGCCTGAAACTGGGTTCCTCATGATCTCAGCTTCCCAAGGAGCTAAGATCACCAACACTGAGTGATTTAAATTTTAATAGCTGTCGGTAGCTTACTCTCAAAAAAAGGTATCAATTTACACATCTGCCAACAAAATAGGAGAAAGTGAATTTCCCCTACAATCTTTAAAGTGGAGGATATCAGTTATTTTGAATCTTTTGTATTCTGGACTGGAGGCGTGGCTCAAGAGGTCAAGTGCCTGCCCAGCAAGCACAAGACCCTGAGTTCAAACTCTAGTACTGATAAATTAAACAAAAAACCCTGGGATTTCTGTTGTTATTTTTTGAGACTGGGTCTCAGGCTGGCCTCAAACTAGCAATTCTCCTGCCTCAGTCTCCCAAGTGCTGGGATTACAGTTGTGTACAACTATACCTGGTGAGGTTTTCTTTAATTAGCAAATACTTGGGCTCTGGGAAAAATAAAGATAAGCAAAACCAGACACGGTTTTTGTTCCTGTGTATTGAATTATTTTGTCATTAATTAGATAACCCTACAGACAGATATAAAACCATTTATTCAACTAATACGAGTGTGGACCACTTGCCAGACACAATTCTAGGTACTTGAAATTGAGATACATTAGCAACACAGTGGGAGAAAAAGATAGTGAACAACAAACACAAGCCAGTGATATAAATTATTAGACAATAAATGCTAGGAGGAAAAAAGAATGGAAAAAATAGAGCAGGGCCTGGTTTTAAGTAGGGTGGTCAGGACAGCGTTATTGAGAAGATGACTTTTGCACAAAGACTTGAAGAAGAGAGGAATTAGGAGAATATCTGGAGGAAGAGTGCTATAGACTGAGGGATCAATTTTTGCAAAAGCCTTAAAGGAGCATTTCAGGCATGTTTGAGAAGTGGCATGGAGGTCATTGTGGCTGGAATGATGTTATATGGGAATGAGCGAGAAGAGATATGAGATCACTGAGGTAATGAGGTGGGGCAGATCCTGTAGGGCCCTAGACATTCACTTTGGGGAACCATTGAAGAGATTTTGAACAGAGGACTGATGTGATCTGACTTATATTTAATTTTTTCCCCCTGTGG